CAAAGCTTGGTTGTCTGGGTTCTCCCGTGTGTGCCTCCCAGTGACTTCTCGCCCCGCTCTGAGGACGGTGCCTCCGGACCTCCCGGGACCCCTCCCTCCTTTCTCTGCCGGCCCCCTGCCCTCATCTGCCGGCCCCTCTCAGCGGGCTCCCTGCCTTTGGTCTTGTTTCCCTGCAGTCTGCCCATCGCCCTGGCATTCTGTGCGGTCTTCCCAGAAGCAGACCTCACACCAGGCCCCCAGTGACGGGCCAGCCTCAGCCCCATTCCCTCCATTCTGGAAACCATGAGCTCCAGCCTAATCTCAGATTCATGTGTAGAGACCGTGCCAGCCAATAGGGCCTGGGGGACAACACAGCATTTATTTTTCTCCCTTAGCAATAATGTCTTTAGTTAAAATATTCTTTTCCTACGTTGAGATTATAGCCTTCCTGTTAGTTATAGGTGAGAGTGGTGTGTGTGTGTATTTCGTGTGCGTGAGTTGGTCATTAACAGGCACCGTAGAAAGTTGGCGTCTCTCTACACATGCATGTTTTACTGGGTGTTTGAACCTCAGACGGAGGACGTGAGATTTTACTTCCCTGCGTTATTCCCCATTCCCCAGATACCACGTACTGGCATGCCTTTATGGATGTGTACCTTTTATTCAACTCCTACTCAACCTGCAAGGCCCAACTAAAATATCCCCCCACCAACAGTAGCCTTCTCAGAGTTTTCAGAATTGCTGGCTCTGCAGTTGAATCCTGTGTCTTGGTTCTTCCTAGTGATCCCTTGCGCTTTGGTTTTCTCTGCGTCAGTGACCCCCCAGAGCAGGGGTGCCCAGCACCCCGCCTCCTCTGCCTCAGGCTTGGCACAGAGCTGTGATCACAGAAGGGGGTTGCTGAGTGTTGCCAGATGGATTCTTTGGGGTAGGGATGAAGTCACGGAAGACATGGGGGCCGTGCGCTGTTTTTCCAGACCCCAGCCTCCCGCTTGCCGCTCCGGTAGCTCGTGTCATCTTTGGAGATGATCTCGTTTCCTTCCTGTGAAGACAGGGGATGAGACAGCAAGTCGACCGTGTTGACTTGACTCAAACTCAGAGCAGCCCTGGCGCGCAGCCAGCCTCGGCTGGTAACTCGAGGAAGGAGGTTGTGAGGGAATAGACGCAACCAGCAAGACGCGTGTTCCAGGTCGTCTGATGCGGACGGTGCCCGTCACCGCTAAGAGGCCAGCTGACCGGCAGGCGCACCTGGCACCTGGCCGCCGCCCCCAGCGAGGTGGGCTTTCCTTCCGTTGTTAATCCTCACCCGAGGATCTGTTTATCGAGAGGGAGAGAAATATCAGTCGGTCGCTTCTTGTATGGGCCCCGACCAGGGCGCGAACCCACCACCTTTCGGTGTGTAGGATGATGCTCCCACTGACCGAGCCCTGCCAGCCAGGGCTCCCCCGTCATGTTTTAGGGCAAGGTGCCCTGGCGACGTGGAAAGAGAAGGTGGATGGTCAGTGGACGGAAGGCGAGAAATGCCCGGCAGGTCTGAGGGGTGGAACGTGGACTCCGGTGGATGGGGCCAGACCCTGGCTGCAGCTCCGCAGCCCAGACTCAGGCCGAGCAGGTGCTCCCTGGAGCAGCTCCGGATGCCGGGCAGCAGCGAGGACGCCAGGGGCACAGCGATGGACGAGATGACCACCGTTCCTGGGCTCATGGAGCAAACCTTAGCTCCCGTGGCAAAGATGGTGATGACCATAAACCATTGCACCCAGGACGGTACCCGAGAGGGACCAGCAGGGATTAGGGAGTCGGCCTACGCCAGGCTTGGAGAGTAGCCGTCGCTCCGTGAGCTCGGCCCTCGCTGCCTGTTGCAGGACGTACCTGACTTGTGTGTTTGCGGGGTCCGTCGATGGGGAGGTGGGTTGCGTTGGGCACTGGGGACAAGTGCACAGACTGCCTGAGCCTGAGGGGCTGGGAGGGGGCCAGAGTCTGTGCTCAGCTCCACGTGAATGGCTGTGGGCGCCGCCAGCCGTCCGTCGCTCGGGCCCCTGGGGGCCCTGCCTGCGGTCTGTGTGTTGCACCTCCTCACACATGTGGGAAACATTGTCATTAATTAACTGCTAATGTCTCACAGGCAGCAGAGGTGCCGGAACTCCGCGCCGCTGTGTCACTCAGGGGAGCGGTCTGCTAATGCGTTTGCACCTCGAATCCTCCCTGGGGCGGGGCTCCTCAGAGACGCACAGGCTGGAGCCGGAGGGAAGCAGGCAGGCATGCCCAGCCCCCCGAGGATGCACACGTAGGGGTGCGTGCATGCCCAGCCAGCCCTCCCACCCACGTGTGTACACGCCCACCACATAGCTGCACGCGTGTGCACATTCCTGCACACCCACCCTCCTAAACACACACCCGCATGCACACCCACTCTCGTGTGTGGGGGCCACTGCACGCCCACCTCCTGCGCACCCGAAGCCCATGCACACGGGTGGTGCCACCCTCTGCCCTCGCGGCGTCTGAGGACGTCCTTCACGGGACGGCACAGCCTCACGCCTGGAGTTTCTGTTCCTGGCTTGCAAGTCACAGTGTTCAGAGGCCCCCACCAGTCTGGCCCTGGGCCTGAGCCACCTTGGGGCAGTGGGGGAGACCTCTGGAGATGGCCCCTGGATTTGGGGGGTCTTTGCTCCCCAGTGAAAACAGGCCCCTGCGGAGTCCCTCCGGAAGCATGTTGCACAGTTAGCACGTGAACAGGTCAGAGTCCATGGCTCCCGGCTGGACTCTGACCTACGTTCCAGCCCCTGCCTGCCTCCACGGCCCTCGCCGGCCACGTTCTCCCTCCAGGCCCTGGACCTCCTCCTGTATCGGATGACCGGGGCCAGGGTCTCAGCGGTGCCGGGAGCCAGTGGGCGGAGTCTGTGGTCTGACCTGTCGTTTTTCTCTGTGCTGACCCTTTTTGCTTGGCTGCTAGGAGGCTCCGAGCCATATGTGTGACCTCTGGCGCCCACATGAGGTCTCGGGCCCTGGATGCGGTGGCTCTGTCCAGGTCCCCGTCCTCCGATTTCCTTGGCTGTTTGTTCCATCTAGTTGGGCGTCTGTGGTTCTCCTAGCTGCCGCCACGCTCTGCGGATTTGGCGAGGTGTAAAGAAGGCGGCAGCCAGTGCTCCGCCTCCCTGCCCTCACCTCGGGGTCCGTCTTCATCTTCACGTGAGCGCGAGGCTTGGGGAGACCCGGCCGGTTCTTGGCAGATTGTGCCAGAATCTCTAGGACAACCGGCTCTCCCGGGAACAGGGCGACTGGCCCTTCCTCTCCATCTGGCGTCCGTGGGCGCAGGAAGGGAAGGCGAGGATCTCAGGGAGTAAACCGCCTCGGGGGGAAGGAGGGCCCGCTGCATCCCACACGCCTGGCGCGGAGCAGGGGCGACGATGGCGGGAGGGGTCCTGACCTGTACCCGGGGGTCTCCCGGGCTCGGTCGCTCCCTCACCTGTGTGTCCGGCTCCTGGGTGCGGGGTGGTGTGGGTTACAGCGAAACCAGCGGAGAACGGGGTTGCCTTCGGTGTCCTACTGGTTGCTGAGCCTGGAGGGTCAAGTCCTGAGATAAGATGACCCTGGTTCACCCTGGGCAGAAAGCCTCCCACCTGGGGTTGCTCCGAGGACCAGCGGCGGCCGCGGTCCCCACGCACACAGCGCACGCCCAGTGGCCAGACACAGAGAGTGGGCACGTGCCCTGCTGACCGGGCCCATCCTGGCGTGTGCCCCTTGTGTGGGTGTCCCAGCGTTGTCTCCTGCCCGGGTGATACCTTCGTGTGGTCACCCTAGAAGCAGTGTAGAAGCTGGAGAGGGGTCTGGAGTCGGGCGGCTGGAGGTCACACGCCACCTGGGTGTTCCTCGCCATGACAGTGGTCACACGCCACCTGGGTGTTCCTCGCCATGACAGTGGCCAGAGGTGCTCTGAGCCTCGGTGTGCTGGTGCGTGGAATGGGCGTGACAGGGTCCGCCGCTGGCTTCCCTGTGATGGTGAAGCAGCCCCAGGAGGCGCTGGGTGAGTCTGACAGTGAGGGCCCCACCCCAGGTTCCCGACCCTCTGGCTGCAGGTGGCCTCCGTTCATCCAGGTGACATGCGGAGGTGACATCCAAGAGCCCGCCGGGGTGCAGGTCACTTGGGCATGGTTTCCCCATCCTCCTAGTGATGCCTGAGCTCTGACCTCTGCTCTGCCTGTCGGGTGGGGGTCAGTGAGGCGATGGAACGTCACTGCTGTTTCCACGGGTCTGCGTCCCCCCATTTTCTTAGTTGTATTGTTTTCTGTCCTCTCTTTCAAAAAAATGTAACGCACCTGATGCAGCCTGCAGTGAAGGCCACGCCTGCTCCCCTCAGGTGTTTTCCTGTGACGCCCCCTTCCGCCCCGCTGTGGCCCGGCCGTGGCTCTGTAGGGCCCTCTTGGCTGGCTTCCCGGGCTAGGCTGCTGCCGGCCGCTCTGTCTTCCCGCCTCTGTGCCCGGAGTGGGGAGGGACCCCGCCCCGGCCACGGGCGCGCGCTGGCTGCCAGTCTCCCAGGGACACAGAATGCCACGTGCGCCTCAGCCCGCCGAGGGTAACGATGTCTTCGCCCGTGTCCTCCTGGACCTCACCCGCAGCTGTGCCCTGCGGAGCGCAGGCAGGTCTGAGCCGGGCTGCGGCAGAGCGGCGGCTGCTGGGCCCCCATCGTTGCAGCTCCTCGGAGCCCGTGGGGGTCCCCTCTGAAGCCCATTGACGGGCTGGACCTCGTGTGGGACTGGAGAGGTCCCGGGGCACAGAGCTGACAGGAGAGCACGGGGGCCGGCGCAGCAGGAGCAAAGGTCCTGGGGTGGGAGAGACTTGTGGGGTCTTCAGATGCCCTGCTGAGGCTGCCGCGGGCCGCGGGCTGCGGGCTGCGGGAGGGAGGGCGGCTCTGCCCCGGGGCGTCTCCATTGCTCGGAGGCCCCGCTGGAGCCCGGGCTCCATTGCCGGCTCCGGGGTCGTGTCAGATGGGCCGTCCCGTGAGCCTCCCCTGGGCTTCTGTCTTGCAGGTGAGATGGACCCCACGCCCCCGGCGCGCTCAGAGTATCTGGTCTCAGGGATGCGGACGCCCCCCGTGAGGAGGAGACTGGCCACCCTGGGCAGGGTCTTCAAACCCTGGAAATGGAGGAAAAAGAAAAGCGAAAAGCTGAAGCAGACGACGACGGGTGAGCACCGGGAGGGGCCTGGCGTCCTGGGACTGCTCCCCAGGCCGCGTCTCCCGCCCCACACGGCTGGGCAGGCTGTGCCCGCCTCTGACAGCTTCTCCATGACCCCTCCACGTCACCTCCTTCCTGGCTGGGACAGCTGAGCACCTCACCCCACTCACTGCCCAGACCCTAAGGGGCACACAGTGACCTGGGACCTAGTTAAAAAGTAGGGCAGCGGCACCCAGACCCCGCATGTCACAGGTCCTCCTGGCTGACCCCACTCCAGCAACAAGCACCCAGGCCTCCCCGGGAACCCCCTGTGACCGCGCTGGGGCCAGGGGTCCCTCAGAGCCCCTGGCGATTCGGAGGGTTGTCGCTCAGCTCCGCTCCTTCCTCAGGAGGCTCCCGGCCTGGGTACCTGCACCCCACCGCCCTCGGAGAACCCTGCAGGCCCCACTCACCTGCAGCCCCTTCCTTCCTCCTGCGGTCCCGGCTCTGTGGGAAGTCAGGCTGCGCCCGGTGGTGCCCTTGCCCACTTGCAGTTCACGCTGGGAACTCGGACCATGAGACTAAACAGCAGGGGACACGTGTGGTGCGGCAGCGAACGGGCCGTAACGGAAACCAGCCGCGGAATGTTCGGAACCGCCCGTGGCCAGGCTGTCGCTGCGACTCCGCCGTGTCAGGGCCAGGACTGGGCTCGGAGAGGAAGCCCTCAGGCCAGGCAGGATTGGCTGGGCTCCGGCGACAGGGTGTCCGTGGTGGGGGGAGGCCAGGGCCTTGAGAAGCAGACCCAGGGAGAGGGCATCTCGGTCCCATGGCGCCTTGCAGGCCGCACGTCTCGCCGTGGCCGGGGACAGTTAGCCGGCCAGCTGCTCCTGTGCGGTCAGTCCTGGACTTGGGGACCCACCGTGGCGAGAGCTTGTCTCAGGCTGCGGCGACTGGTCCCGGGGTCCCCACGTCCTTGCCAGGGCGCAGAGGCCGGCACAAGCGAGGCGACGGGGGACAGCTTCCCGTGCTCAAGTGTGAAATCACTACTTTTTAACCGCCCACGAAGGTGACTGACTGACTCTCCTTGTCCGGCGTGAAAGCAGGACAGACGGGTCCTGTGAACCCCGAGTGCCTCCTGCACCTGGTCAGAGTAGATGGGCAGCCGGGCCCTGCCCACCGTGAGCTTCCCCTGACTCAGGGCCCAGACCCGAGCCAGATGCCACCCCTACTCTGGCGGGGCCTCCCCGGGGCTGCGCAGGTGCCGGAGGAAGTGGGCGGTGGCATCACTCGGGCGGGGTGACCTGAGAAGACCCAGTGAGGAGGCCACACAGCTGAGACGTAATTGGCCCCTCGAGAAAGGCAGAGAAAAACATCGCGACAGTGGGAACAGGCCACAGAGCCGCCGAGTTGGGGAAGACGTGTCTGTGTGTCGGTGAAGGCCGAGGGAGCCAAAGCTGGGGACCTCTGTGACCTCGGGGAGCCCTGACCCTGTCCATCCTCGACGTCCCCGGCCGCGGTGAGCGTGAGCTGTAAGGACCCCACCTCCCGGCCCTCGGCACTGCGGGGCAGAGGCCCCTGAGCTCATCGGGATGCTGTCGTCCCTGTAGGGGCACAGGGGCTCCAGGTTAACCCTGAGGGAGCCCCACCTTCAGGCCCCTCGTTCAGGCATTTAGGAACCCCGGGAACAGAATGCGTTTTATTTCTTCTAAACCAGTCTTCCCCGCACAGTGAGGAATATTTATTTTCACTTAAAGCCCGGATCTCACAGGCGTGGCTGGTGGGTACCCCAGTCTTCCTTCCATAACAGAGGTGGTTAAAGGAGAAACAGGAGCCACCAGCAGCTTGGGGGGGGGCAGGGGGGGCTGGGCAGCTCCAGAAGTTTGGGAATTGGCCTCCGAACCCACCTGCTGGGGCGGCTGGGCCGGGGGCGTGTCCCCGAGGTGGGCACCTCACAGCTGTCTCCTGCCTCTGTCGCCAGAGCTGGAGGGGTCCCGGGTCCCCCAACTCCGAGACCTCCACCCTGACACTGCTTTGCCCTCTTTCCGGGTGGGTCATTGGCACCCCCACAGTCGGAGTTCGGTTTCTCAGTTTCATCCACACTCCGGCACCTGGAAACTTGATTAGAAATTGGACTAAACAAAGGAAATTGTGTCCATTTTGCCCGAAACTGTCTTCTCCCTGATATCTCTGGGTTTGCCCCAGTCTTCCTTCAGTTCTCAGAGCGCTGCCCCCCTCGCCCCCAGGGCCCTGGGGTCCCCCTCCGCTGGTCCCCAGGCAGGGGCCAGGCTCCTCTGTGCCCACGCTCAGTAATGCTTGTGGGGTGAGCCTCCCCAGCAGCCTGCTCCCTGCTGCTCCCGGGACAGCTCAGTGACTTCCCATCCTTACCTGCTTGTCCACCGCTGCTGACCTCGAACCCCAGCAGTGGCCGGCTCCTAGTCCCCTGCAGCCGCCTTGGTCCCCGCACACGGCGACCCCAGGCCCTGGGTGAGCTGGACGCCCACTCTCTCCGCCCCCTTCCAGGGGAGGGTCCGGCGGTGGGCAGACAGCTCTCTGGTCACTCAGAAGAGAGACTCCGGCGGTGGGCAGACAGCTCTCTGGTCACTCAGAAGAGAGAGTCCGGCGGTGGGCAGACAGGTCTCTGGTCACTCAGAAGAGAGAGTCCGGCGGTGGGCAGACAGCTCTCTGGTCACTCAGAAGAGAGAGTCCGGCGGTGGGCAGACAGCTCTCTGGTCACTCAGAAGAGAGAGTCCGGCGGTGGGCAGACAGGTCTCTGGTCACTCAGAAGAGAGAGTCCGGCGGTGGGCAGACAGGTCTCTGGTCACTCAGAAGAGAGGGTCCGGCGGTGGGCAGACAGGTCTCTGGTCACTCAGAAGAGAGGGTCCGGCGGTGGGCAGACAGGTCTCTGGTCACTCAGAAGAGAGAGTCCGGCGGTGGGCAGACAGGTCTCTGGTCACTCAGAAGAGAGGGTCCGGCGGTGGGCAGACAGGTCTCTGGTCACTCAGAAGAGAGGGTCCGGCGGTGGGCAGACAGCTCTCCGCCCCCTTCCAGGAGAGGGTCCGGCCGGTGGCCTGGGAATTCTTTGGAAGTGCTCCTTGGGGTGTCGGGGAAGCTCTCTGGGCAGCTGCACAGGGTGTGGTCAGGGTGTGGTCAGCAGCTGATAGGAACCGCAGAAAGGGCCCCGGGATCGGGCAGAGAGGACGTTCCCGGCTGGTTAATTAGGGAGCAATGACGGAGGCTAGCGGGGGGCCAGCGGGGAGAAGGGTCTCATGCCAGGTGTTGCCTCAGGTGCAGCGCCCGGCAGCCTGTCGGTGAGAAGGCCGCGCATATTCCCAAACACGGGAATCGGGGGACCAGGCTTCCTCACCCCCTCCGTGGGGCCCCTGTGTCCTCTGGATGCCCCGCCTTGACTCACCTGTCTGTGTCCCTGCAGCCTTGGAGAAGAAGATGGCCGGCCGGCAGGGTCGGGAGGAGCTCATCAGGAAGGGGCTGATGGAGATGGTGGAGCAGGGTGAGTGGGGGCAGGGGGCCCAGGAAGCCCATCAGGGCGGAATGGAAGTGGGAGGGGTCTGGTGTCTGCGGGGAGGCTGGGCCTGAGTGGGGCCTCCAGGGCCACCTCCCGTGGGGCGCAGAGCTCAGAGCCGGCTCCCCCGGGAGTGTCTGCCTCCCGCCCCGCTTCACGTGGACTAGCTTGTGGTCTGTCCTGACGCCCTGCAGTGGTATCGGTGGCTTTTGTCATTTTCATAGTCTCATTTTAATCCTGGATTCGGGCAAGTTATTTGTCCTGCGGCCTCCAACTGCTGCTACCGTTTATTTAAAAATACTTTTTTTCTTTTCCCTTTATTGATTTTAGAGAGAGGAAGGGAGAGGGAGAGAGAGTTAGAAGCATCCATGAGAGAGAACATCGATGGGCTGCCTCCTGCACACCCCCACTGGGGATCGGGCCCCCAACCTGGGCATGTGCCCTGACTGGGAATCGAACTGGTGACCTCTTATTAACCACCCCTGACTGAGGCCCAGAACTGGACTGGGTGGTGGACCCGCCGTGTCCTGCTGTCCTCACTGCATCCTCGGGCCTGCACGTCCGTCCTTACCCGCAGTGTGGACCACGCAGGGCAGGGCAGGGCCGTCCAGTCCCTGGTCTGGTGAGCTGGAGCGTGGAGGTGTCTGCGTGGGCGCCTTTACTTGCGCCGTTAATTCGTGAAATTCTCGAGTCCCGTCTCCCTCTGGGTGGTACAGAGGGCCTGAGCGCAGGACGTGGGTCCTGGGGCGCCTAGGACTCTGCCCCTCCCCAGCTCGGGGGAGCCACAGTCCTCACTGTCTGCAGCTGAACCGGGCTCCCTCTTGGCTGAAGGAGCCTGGCCACTGCGGGGAGGTTCCTATCAAAACTCCCACCCCCTTCAGCCTCAAACCAGGCGCTGTTTGTAGCTGGGTCGAGTGTGGCGAGTCAGGAAGGGAGTGGGGAGGGCATTCGGAGCCACAGCTCAGATGTCTGGCGGGGCAGGAGCCTCGGGGGTCTGTGCTGCTCACCAGGGCCACCGGCCGCTCTGACGCGCTGTGGGCGCGGTGTCCACGCTTGGAGACCCACCCCAGCCCCTCTGGGCAGTGGGAGTGGGCGGCGGAGAGGCCCCGGGAAGCAGGGGGGTTAGAAATGGGGAGAGGAGCGGGGGTCTGGGTCCAGCAGAAAATCACGTCCTCCCTGCCCGTCTCTCCATGGCCAGTCCAGACGTTTGCGTCCCCAGGAAGTGGCCGGGTGACAGGCAGCCACAGGGCGGCCGTCACAGAAGGGATGTTGGAAGCTGGGTCCCAGGCCCAGGTGTTGCCTCGGGGAAGGGTCCTGGGCCGGAGGAGGCGTGGAGGGCCTGCGCTGAGGGCCTGCGCTGAGGGCTGCCAGGTGCTGCGTGGATTCTCGGGCCTCACCCCTCGTGGACACACCGTGGTAAGACCCGTGGACGGGCAGCCCAGGCGCTGGGGTCGATGCCTCCTCGCTCTGTGCTCTGTCGCATGTTGTCACCTACTCAGAAACTGCATTTTCTCCCTGGGGTCGAAGTCAACCTCCAGGTCCGGCCCTGGGCATCCTGGCTCCTGCTGGTGTTGGGAGAGCAGGGCTCCTGCTGGGTGGATTCCGGGGGCACCTCCCTGAGCCCAGAAAGTTGAGTCATGAGGAATAGGCTCCTGACTGGCCACTCGAGTGGGAACACCCTCCCCCCAGCCCTCCTCCCCTCTCTGGTTGGTGGAGCTGTGGTGTGAGCACCTCCTAACTGGGAGAACATCTCTGCAGCCGACAGTGCACCCCTGTGGCCACTGTGCTGTCACCAGGACACCCCACAGGGCGGGTGCCTGGGAGGCTGTGGGTGACAGTGACGGAGGGCCTAGAGAAGTCCCCATGGGCTCGGGCCACAGGCCCTCCCAGAGCTGCTTGGAGCCCTTAGCAGCCCCAAGACCTCAACCGTGAGTGTCCACGGCCAGGACAAACCCCAGAGGGAGGGCCCCCGCACTGCACAGGTGCATGTGTACACGTGGTGCACACACAGGCCGAAGTTACCTGGAGTTTACCTGTACTACGGTCTCCAGCACACCCAGCATGACAGTGGGAGCTGACCCAGAGACGTGTCCAGGGCATGGCTGCGCAGGTGCGTGTGTACACGTGGTGCACACACAGGAGGAGTCGCCTGGAGTTCACCTGTACTGCGGTCTCCAGCACACCCAGCATGACAGTGGGAGCTGACCCAGAGATGTGTCCAGGGCATGGCTTGCCCCCCACCCTCCACGGGGTGGGGGGGGTGACTTTATGATAGTTCACACCTGTGTTTCTGCCCCGCCCTGACCTGCTCTGGCTCCTGGAAGTCAGGGTATCAGCCAGAACCCAGACGGGAGCCTTGGTGCGGCTGTGGGATGGAGGAGATGGGACCAGGTCTGCCAGGAGAGGGAGAAGGGGGCCGTCCTCCTCGGACATGTGACCAGGGAGCGCTGGCCAAGCCTCCCAGCCCCACCTGGATGCCCCGAGTGAGGACGGTGGCTGTCCTCCATCTTCCGTTCAGTCCACGTGGCATTTCATTAACTAATGTAAGGGGTTTCATACTCCATCACTGGCTACGAGAGTTACCCCACTGCTGTGGTCAGTGACCCGAGAGACACCAGGGAGCTTTCCTCGGGGGACTTGGGCAGTGACACTAGGTCTGTCTGGTTTCTGTGCAGCCGGAACGCCCAGGGCAGTGTGCACGTGTGTGTGCTTGTGGATGTGTGTCTGCACGTATGTGTGCTTATGGGTGTGTCTGCACAATTGTGCATACATGTCTGCATGTGTGTGCTTATGGGTGTGTGTTTGCACCTATGTGTGCCTGCACATGTGTGCATGTATGCTTGTGTGTGTCTGCACACATGTGTGCACATGCGCCTGTGGCTGCATGTCTGCACACATGTGTGTGTGTGCCTGTGGGTGCATCTGCACACGTGTGTGATCGTGGGTGTGTCTGCACACATGTGTGCACTTTGCTTGTGGGTGTGTCTGCATTGTGCTTGAGTGTGTCTACACATGTGTGTGTACTGCTTGTGGGTGTGTCTGCACACATGTGTGCACGTGCTTGTGGCTGCATGTCTGCACGTGTGTGCACTGTGCTTGTGGGTGTGTCTGCACACGTGTGCACACGTGCTTGTGGCTGTGTCTGCACGTGTGTGCACTGTGCTTGTGGGTGTGTCTGCACACGTGTGCACACGTGCTTGTGGCTGTGTCTGCACATGTGTGCACTGTGCTTGTGGGTGTGTCTGCACACGTGTGTGCACTGTGCTTGTGGCTGCAGGAATGTGTGTGCAGGAAGGCTTGCGGCACGCTCCCTCTCACTGGCACTCTGGATGACAGGTTGGGTGTGTGCTGTCCTCGGTGGCCATTGTCAGGAAAGGGCAGTGGTGGGAATGGGCAGGAGGGAAGGTCGCGCCCACAGCTCCCCCACCCTAACCAGCGTTTCTTAGCAACCGCCCTCCCAGCAGAGCTATTTTGGGCACTGGAACTTTTCATTGAACAAGATTAGGAACTGCAGCTCTGAGCCCGCGGGAAGCGGGGGCGTCCGCATGCACATGGGGGGCAGCCCCACGAGCCCGCAAAGGCTGGAAACCCTGGTGCGCTCAGGGCTCAGTGCTCTGACCGGCCTGTTGATGGCGAGGCGGGGGAGGGTCTCATCACCGACAGCACGACAGTCACGTCAGCAGATGGCCGGCACCTTCTAAGACAGGTGTGGCCACCTCCCCCGCCTCACCAAGGTCCCATGAGCCGGCACCAGCCAGTGCCCGTGGGCATCTCGGCAGGGCGTACGCCCTCGTGTGGGGCCATCTGTCACCTCTGTTCTTCACGGGCCAGCCCAGCCCGCTGGTGCAGAGGTGGCCACCCCGTGTGGCGAGCTGGCACAGCCCAGGGAGCGTGTTGTGTTTTGTGACACCCGTGTCCCCTGCATCCCCTGCCTTTGGGTCTTTTCCTAGGTCAGGTCCGGGGGAGCCTTGAGCTGTGGTCACAGACCACGGGCTGTCATTGTAAGGCCCGGCGCTGAGGATGGTTTTGAAACTTTACAGGTTTTTGTAACAATCAAAATGAAGGGAGGCAGGCAGTGTGGCCTGTACGACACGTGGCCACATGGTCCAAAATACCGGCCATCTGTCCTGTTCCAGGGCTGCTTCGATGAGATCTCCCCAGCCCTGCAGACTCCTGGCTGGCCTGGCGCCGGCCCCAGGACACAGGTGTGCCACGAGGGCCCATGATGAGCAGTCCTCACCCCTCGAGGGCCCGAGCCCTGGACGTGGGGTGGGCCCTGTTCAGGGTGCCCATTGTTACCACCTGGGCACGTGGGCATGGACCTGGGCCAGACCATCACTCACCAAACACTCATCACCACTCTGGCTGGGTGGCTCATCTGGTTAGAGCGTCATCCCGTACACCAAAAGTCTCAGGTTCAATTTCCGGTCAGGGCGCCTACCCAGGTTGAGGGTTTGATCCCCAGCTACGGTGTGTGCAGGAGACAACAAATACCTCCCCCCTTTCTCCCCCCTCGCCCCCTGCCTCTCCCCCTGCCCCCCGTCTCTCCCCTTCCCATCTCTCCCCCTCCATCCCCCTCCCTCCTAAAATTAACAAAAGCATCCTAGGATGAGGATGGAAGGAAACAGCAGCGACGAGGACAGTCGCGCATGCTGGCTCTCCCAAGCACGCTGCGTGTATTAACTCATTTCATTCTTCGCCCTGAGGCAGGTGGGAGGACTCCCCCCTTTTATGGATGAGGGGACTGAGGCCCAGACGTCTGCTCTGTGGGCACAGACCATTCTGTGGTGGTGGGGGTGTGTGGGCAGGGTGACCTCACACTTCTGTCCAGTCGTGGCACTTTGGGGGTGAAAGGGACACACTGTTGACAGCAGAGCCCCTGACTCCTCCTCCCCCGCCGGGATGGGGGCCGCGCGGAGGAAGCTGTCCTGAGTCAGAGCCCCCGGCTGCGTGACCGCGGTGGCCCGGTGAGCTGCTGTGGGGACTGGGGTCCTCCAGGGGCAGAGATCTGTGTGTCGGGGTTTATCAGCCTCGGAGCCGCCGTGCGGTGGAGCGACCAGGACCAGCTGTGCTCCTGGACCCTGGGCCTCGTCAGTAAGATGTGACCCGGAGGGTCAAGGGCCAGACCCTCAAAGGCTCCAGCAGTCGAACCCCCAACCAGAGGAGCCCAGGCCCTCCTCTCAGCTCTGTTAGGACCTGGCGGCACCCTTCTGGGTCCCCTGCTCTGGGACACCCCATGGTCCTTGGCAGCCCCCCTTCCTGGGCTCGTGACCCTCAGAGTGTGAGCCAGCCAGGGGTAAGGATCGTGGCTTATTTCCTGCCTGCCCAGGGTCGCACGGTGCCAGACGCATAGTGGGTCACGAGAAACATTCGCACCATGGGGGACACGGGGCGGGGGTTGTGGAAGTGAGTCTGTCATCTGTGGCCACGACAGTGTCATCTGACGGATCATCCCAGCACCTCAGCAGTGTGTGTTGTCACCGGTCCGGGTTGACCTGGCTGGCAGGATGGGGGCAGCTCAGCCTGCCTGCCATCCCCCATCCGGCTAGCCAGGTGTGTCCCTGGGGAGAGGGCCAGGTGTGCAGCCGCAGGGCCCTGCAGACACCTGCTGATGTCCCACTGACCACTGACCGGAGCAGCCCCAGGGCAGGGCCCAGGCTTAGGGTGGGGTCACGGTCCCGTCCCCCGCAGGTGTTGGGGTAAGAGCACAGGCCGGCGTGCAGAGCAGAGGCCGAGGGGTGTCACCGTGCTCGGGGCTGATTTGGGAAGACGGGGTGTGGGGCCCAGGGCCCGGGAAGGCGCATCGCCCAGCACGGCCTTGGTGTGAAGGGAAGCGCTCGGGAGGGCAGGCGAGGCTGACGGCTGGTTTCCCTGCAGATGCCGAGAGCAGAGGGGGCATCCCCGACGGAGGCCGCGCCACGCAGAGCGAGCCGGCCACGCCGAAGCAGGAGAACCCGACTCCAGAAGGTGTCCAGCTGGGCAGCCCCTCGGCCACTGGGCCAGACCAGGCTGCCCTGGATGAGCCGCTGTCCTCAGACGTCCGTTCGGAGGATGCAGGTACCAGCTGGGGACAGCGAGGGGCTCGGAGGCCCTGGGGTCCCCAGCCAGGGCCTGGGCAGTAGCTCCGTCAGGGCTCGAGCCCGGCCACACCCCGCCATGCGGTTGGGGTGATGCTTGCCAGAGCGTTTTCCTGCGTCCTCCCAAGCCTGGCACTGCCCGTACATGGAGGTGCTTATGATGCTCACAGGGCCCCTGTACCTTCCTCCCTGACACCTTCCTTGTCCACGGGGAATGCCAGGAAGTTTCTCCCAGGGAGCCAGTGTCCAGTGGTGTGGTGGTGATGGTGGTGGCGGTGGCGGTGACAACGGTGGTGACAGTGACGTAGGAGGTGGCGGCGGTGGCAGTGGTGTGTGATGGTGACGGTGGTAGCAGTGCCGGTGGTGATGGTGACGGTAGTGGTGGTGATGGTGGGTGGTAACGGTGATGGTGGCGGTGGTGGTGACATCGGTGGTGGCGGTGACGTAGGTGGCGGTGGTGGCAGTGGTGTGTGATGGTAACAGTAGTAGCAGTGCTGGTGATGGTAGTGGTGGTGATGGTGGGTGGTAACGGTGATGGTGGTGGCAGTACCGGTGGTGATGGTGACGGTGACGGTAGTGGTGGTGATGGTGGGTGGTAACGGTGATGGTGGTGGCAGTGCCGGTGGTGATGGTGACGGTGACGGTAGTGGTGGTGATGGTGGGTGGTAACGGTGATGGTGGTGGCAGTGACAGTGGTGATGGTGATGTCGACGGTGACGGTGGTGGTGGTGATGGTGGGTGGTGACGGTGACGGTGGTGGCAGTGACAGTGGTGATGGTGATGTCGATGGTGACGGTGGTGGGTCATGATTTTAATCGAATAGACCGGGCTGGTTGCCGGCGTGGGGTGGAGACGAGGGGAGGTGGGGAGGAAGGGAGGAAGGGGAGCGTGGACCCAGCGGACACCGTGGTGCTTTGAGGTGACCCCTGCTCGGACCTGTCAGCTGCCCTTTGGAGAAGTCTCCGGGGACCTCCCTGTGGAGCAGGAAGCCTGTGTCCTGGTGAAGTTGCAGCTCTAAACATGTCAGGCATGCTGGGGGGGCTGGAACTGAACCGTGTCCCACAGCTGTGGGGGACTGGAAGTCCAGGCCTCGGGGACAGGCCGGCCGGGGTGCCTGTGGACGGCGGGGCCTTCTGCTTCCCAGCCAGATGGGCACCTCCTCCTGCCCAGCGAGGCGCACACCTGAGCTCCTCCCCGCTGCCCCCCGCTGCCCCATCCATAGCGTCCCCCCAGTATCTATAAGCACCTGCCAAGAGGGGCTGGCTGGGCCTCTCCAGTTTCACCCCGACTGGGACGCAGCAGGATCTTGGGGTCTGAGGAGTTGTGGCTGGTGGGGCGTCCTGGCCCCTCCTGCAGGAGCCCTTTGGCCCACTTGGGTCCTGCTCCCCCGCACACTCCAGGCAGGGTGGGGGTCAGTGGGAGTCTCATGGCCGAGCGAAGCGGTACCCTCGGTCCCTGGGCCTGCCGCGGGCACCTGGCTCCTTCTGGGGGGTCCTTTCTGCTCCCTCGGCTCAGGAACGCGCCTGCCCCGCCAGCGCCCGTCTGCCCTCACGCGCTCTCTATCCAGACGGTCTGCGGATGGGTTTCCGAGTGGACTTGCCTGTGGGCACAGCTTTGCTAGTGAGGCCGTCCTGTGGGTAGGACGTGCTGTTGAGTCCAGGGGTCACCTACCCAGTGTGATGGGGGAAGAGGGACTTCGGAGTCCTCAGTTCCTGGGTCTGGGCCCTGCTCTGGGGTTTGTAGGATGACGCGGAGCCTCTGCTGAGTTTCAGTGGGTGAGCAGCGCCCTCTGCTGGTCCAGGCAGGATACGAACAGCCCCGAGGGAGGGATCCCCCGTCAGGGAATGTGCAGAGGTCACTTTGTCTTCTATGGTTTTTTTTTCTTCTGTACTTGAGACTTTAAGGGATATTAAGGTTTTATTTTCAACAAGAGTCCAAACTACAGTGGTAGCTACACCCACACGTGAGGCGCAGAGAAAGATGCTGGCTGACAGAGGGGGTACCTACCCCTCGAGAAAGATGCTGGCTGACGGGGGGTACCCACCCCTCGAGAAAGATGCTGGCCGAGAGGGGGGGTACCCACCCCTCAGGCGGGTCAGGGATATGAGGATCCCTGTTGGTGGCACAGGTGAGGTTTGGGAGCAGCTTTGGAGGAAGACTTGGAAAGTGGCTGGTGTGGGGAGTCCCCAGGCCTTCAGAGCAGAAGGGAGACCCGTGCTCCACCTCGGCTGGTGGGGTGGGGGGACCTCTGGAGCTGGAGGTCTGCCCTGCGGCCTCTCTGGTTGAGCGGGTGTGGGCTGTGCCCACTGACTCCCAGAAACCCAGAGCCGCCCTGCTCGATCGCCACTAGCTGCCCGGCTATTTCAGTGAATTTAAACGAAATAAAAATGAGGCTCAACTGTCCGGTCACACCAGCCACTTGTCCGGTGCCCGCAGGCCACACGTGGCTGATGGCTACTGTGATGCGCAGGGAGGAGACGGTGCCCCCGTGTCAAAGTTCCTGGGCAGAGTGAGCGACGGGCTGTGTGCCCGGAGCACAGCAAGGGCTGTTCTGTTGGGATGGGCCAGCCCTTCCGGAGTGTTCTGTGCCAGTAAGACTCGAACTCGCAACGCCGAAGCCCTCAGGCGGGCTGCACGCGGGATGGGGTGCGGGTGGAGTGGACCGCAGGGCGCTTGTGTTGGGGTGGAGAACCGGGGCTGCCGTCTGCAGAGGACGAAGGGGCATCTCCTGGCTCGGATTTTGCCCGTTGGCAGTTGGGGGAGAGACTTCTGCAGTGGAGTCTCCATTTCCGTGAGCTTCACGGGCGGGCCTGGCCTCAGAGGGTTCTGCTCTCGGCGTGGACAATAAAGAACAGAGATGGTGATGAGTGGAACCTGTGGGACACAGTGGGTGCCTCCAGGGCCTGGGTGGGAACCCTCAGGGCAGGGATTCCGCACGTGGACCGCGCCTGCCCGTGGAGGTCCCTGATGGGTGGGTGGACGGATGGATGGACAGACGGACGGATGGGTGGATGGATCCCACTCTGGAAGGCTGGTCCCGGGTGTTAGCATCCTCCTCAGGTGGTTGTAGACACGGAGCAGCCAGGGCCTGACACAGGCCTGCATGTTGGCGACCATGGCGGGCAGGAGCTGCCTCTCCTGGGGAGGGAGGAGGGAGGGAGGGAAGGGGTGTCAGACCAGGAGTCAGAGCGCAGCCCTGTCTGAGGGCCTCAGTTTCCCTGTGAAGCTGAGGTGAGGGTGCCAGGAGGTGGTGAGGAACTGGAGCAGGAGAGGCTGCAGGGAGGTGGCCGAGGCGGGGCAGAGTGGGGAGCCCGGCAGCTGGGGCGGGGCTGCTGGGGCTCCCTCCGCGGGCAGGGGATGATGGGAGCTCCATCCAGAGATGGGTTTTCTTGGAGCCGAGACAGGAACGGGAGGGAAGTGAGGGCAGGACTTGCTGCTGCGGTGGACGACGGGTGGGAGCTGAGGGGGAGGGAGGAGGGTGGAGCCGTCCTGGGGGAGCCTGGGCCAGCAGCTGGAGGAAGAGGACCGAGGGTGGGGGCATCTGGGGGGCTGACCCTTCCCCACCACTCACCTGGCTGGCGGGCCAGGGGCTGGGCTGCTCCGGTCGCCATCTCGTGTTGAGGTCTCAGAGCAGGTCCTGTGAGGTCCCCTGCTCCTTCCTGGTCAGAGCCTCGCAGGGTAAACGGAGTCAGGGAGGGTCCGTGACTTCTCCAAGGTCCCAGAGGAAGTGCAGGGCCCACTGGAGCCCCGGTGTGTCTGGTCCCAGAGCTGTGATTGTGCCCCCACCCCCCGGCCAGGTCAGAGCTTTGGCAGCACCCGTTAGGGACAAGGGGACTGAGCCACAGGTGCTCGAAGTTATTCCCTCCCCACTCGGGGCTCCCCCTCCATGCTCCCCCCTCCCTCCCTCCCTCCCACTTCTGACAGCTCCCTGGACAGTTGAAGTCACAGGAGGTCGGGTCTGTGTGTGAAGTGACCCCTCTGGAGGCTGGATGCTGCTCCGCATGGGCACCCCCCCCACACACACACACACACCCGCCCATCCTGGGAGCCTGCTCTGAGCTCTGTGTCCCCTTTGCAGCAGCCAGGACGCCCTCAGCCAGCAGACGTGGGGAAGCAGGTGGCAGCCTCCCGCCGGCCACCGACGAGCCCCCTCAAGCCTTAGCCGGGCCTCACTCCCTGGACAGTCCTCCCAGGACCCTGGAGAGATCCGCGGGCCAGCTCCCCAGCCCCCCGCTGCCGCCCACCCCGCTGCCCAAGGCAGGCAGCAAGGCCACAAAGAATGTCACAGGTGGGTGCGCACGTCCGTCCGTCTACCCGTCCGCCTGCCCTCTGTCTGTCCATCGGCGCTTCGCCCAGCCTCACGGGGCTCCCTCTGCTTCTGCAGCCAGGGCTCTGGGCGGGGCCAGGGGAGTGGCCCTATTCCTGGGGCGCGTCTGGGGTTGTCAGAAGCAGGGCACCCCAGGGGATCCCGAGGACACACGGCCCCCCACAGTCCTCGAGGGCGGGACACACGCCCGATTTACAGTGGAGGCAACTGAGGCTCAGCTCCAGGTCCCCCAGCTCACGGAGACTTGAACTAGGTTTGGGGCCCAAAGCTCCTCCTCCCCCACCTCACTACTTCCCCTGCTGGAGTGTCCCTTCCCCTCACATCACCTGGTCCGTGCAGCCCTGTCCCTCCTTCTGGGGGCCTTTCCTGACCCAAACCCACGTGGACCGGGTCCTCTCTGCGGAGCGTTAGGGCCCCATCAGATGTGTCAGCACTGATGTGGGTGCCGGGGGGAGGGGACAGAGGGCGGCTGCAGGGCCCTGGACTCTGGCCTGGGTCTCCCAGCTGAGGGCATGTGGGGGACTTCCTTCATTCCCCATCTTTTCCTTTCCTGGGGGTGTCGGCTCTGTCCCGTGAACACTAAGTGGCGGCAGAGGCGGCGAAAGGCGCTCCTGGCCCACCTGGGGCACTGGGGTCAGTTCACAAGCTGAGCCCCCCGGAGCTTGCTTGTCCGAGAGGAACAGCAGCCCCCGGCCCAGGAATCACCCCCAGACATCAGGGAATCCGCTGTCCCCGGATCCCACCGCGGACCTGCTGTGCTGGGTCTGCGTGGCGTTCGATGTCGCTGTTTAATGCGCTGCCAACATTCAAAACACATTAAAATATGTTGAAGGATTAGTTACTAACATGTATGAAGACACGGGGGAATTTTTACCTTGAAGCCAAATGTCTGGCTTTTCTAGTAAAGTCTTCCTACCCGGCAGCCCCGAGTCCGACAGCCCCCTGAAGACGGACCGGCTCCGCCGTTTGCTGCGGTGCCCCCCCCCTCCCCTGTTGGAATTGCCCCAACTCCCCTGTCTCACCTGCCTGGGCCCTGGTGAGTCATGACTTACCCTCTGGGCAAGCGTCCCTGCCCCGGCCCAGCTGGGTGACAGCTCCTCGTGCGGGGTCCTGTGGGCTCTGCCGCCACACCGGGGGTCACCTGCCAGGTCCAGCCCCGCCGCCTCCTGGAGGTGCACCACCTGGAACTGGCCTCTGGACCTCAGTTTCCTCACCTGAGGCTGGAGCGGTAGAAGATCCCCGGGCAGGTGCTCAGCCGCGGGGCATTTGTCCTGTGCGTCTGCAGTGGACAGCGGTGCCAGGGCCCCGTTAGCGGGCTGGCCGGCCGGGGCCTGCGCCTTCTCTGCTCCCGGCTCCTGTCTCAGCGGCCCCGCCCCGCCCCCGTCCCACCCCCACCCCCACCCCCACCCCCACCCTCACCCCGCTGACGGGGTCTCCTTGGCCCTCTCATTCCCAGGCCAGCCTGCGCTCTTCCAAGACTCCAGCGGGAAGAACACGGACCCGCCCCTCCGAGGACAGCTTTCCACGCCCACGGGGTCCCCGCACCCCACCGTCCACCGGCCGCTGCCCCCCAGCCGTGTCATCGAGGAGCTGCACAGGGCGCTGGCCACCAAGCATCGCCAGGACAGGTAGGCCCTTGCCTGGCGGCAGAGACCCAGGTCCCTCTGGGCCAGCTGTGGGCAGCGCCCGAGTCTGGGCTGGGCTCGCTGCTCCGCGTCACCCTCTGGAAAGTCCTCACTGTGTTTTAACAAGGAGCCCGACATTTGCATGTTGCACCGGGCTCTGCAGCTGGTTGGCAGCTGGTCTTGGTCACCACTGTCCGTGAGGGGTCAGGCGGCGGGTGGGCACCCTCGGGCGGAGGCCTGGAGGAGCAGCAGCCAGCCTGGGCCCGACGCTCGCCCTGGTCTCCGTCTCCCGTGGTTTGGAGCAGACAGGAGAGCGAGTTGTTGGCGGGCACGGCGGGTGAGGGGGTCCGCACGGGCCTGGCGGAAACACCGGACTGGACGCCCTTCTCGGGTCTTGGCACCCCCGACCTGAGCATTTCCTGTGCTCGGTGTGGCGTGTTTTATCACACGCGTGTCTGCAGCTCAAAACCCCATGTTCTCAACAGCCCGGTGCCCTGGGCTCGAAGCTGGGCATGTGCGCCCTGGGAGTCATTCTCGAACCCGGGGCCAGGTGAAGGGGGCACCACGTATAACCCGAACTACCTTTGTGACCTAGCTTCCAAGGGAGGGACTGCAGAGGGTCCCCGAAGAAGCGGGTGGACATGCGCCTGTCGAGAACGTCCAGCGTGGAGCGGGCCGAGGAGCGGGAGGGGGCCTGGAGCTTCGACGGCCCCTCGGAAGGCAGGCGGGCGGCGGCCAGGGAGTCGGAGGAGAACAAGGAGAACTTGCTCCTGGGCCCCGAGCCCGAGGACGACCTGCTCCTGCACCAGGACGAAGAGGAGCTGAGCGCCTCCATCCTCTCCGGTGAGCGGGGTCCCAGCTCAGGTCATGGGCACGGAGCCCTGTGTGCTGTCCCTGGGAGTGGCAGAGGGGAGACCCCTCCGAACGGACGGGGGTGCAGAGGGGCTCAGGGCAGGCTGCAGAGACAGGGGTGAGCTTGTTTCGTTTTGATCATTGCACGTTAATGTGTATTTGAGCAAAGACCACTGAGCTCAGCAGGTGACTTCGAAAGTACCACTCTGGGGACGACAGGTGGTCAGAGTCCAGCGTCCCGAGTGGGGCAGAAAGTGTAGCAGGAAGTGAGACGGGACCTCGGGAGGAGAGAGGGCGGATTCCTGCCACCAGAGGTGTCAGTGTGCTGGTGGGGGCCGGGGGCCAGGCCCTTGGAGGCTCAGCTCGGGTCTGTCCTCAGTGTGTTCACGGTCACAGTGATGGCTTATGACCCTTGAGGACTTGGGGCTTGAGCAGACAGCACTGGAGACCCCCCGACGAAGGGAAGGGGCGCAGGCCAGCCAAGTCTGCAGGCCTTTCAGGGAGGTGACTTTCTGCTCGAGGCGTCATCGTTCTTCCCGGAAGCATCTCCGGGAGACCGACAGCCTTGGACAGAGCACACGGCCTTGTGACCGTGAACACACTGAGGACAGACCCGAGCTGAGCGGGTTCTCGGCAGCCTGGTCTGGCTCGGGGGGACCCGCCCGGGCACCCTGGGCAGGTGCCCACTGTCTCCCCTCCGTTTCCTCATCGATCAGCTCAGCACCCTCATCCTGGGCTCTGAGGACATCACGGGGATGTCCCTTCATGGCTCGGGCACAGTCGCAGTTTCACACTGATTTTTGTCCTGAGCTCGCTAGTGCCGGTCTCCCCCGAGTTTATCAGTCACCCGGTCACCTCAGTTTTCTGATACACACGTCTGGCTGTTGTCCGCACAAGGGACAGCGCCCCCATGCCTGAGCACCCCTGGGCACCAGGTGTGTCGCTGTTGACGGGCATGTCCACCTGCCGTCTTGTAGGTGTGGCTGACCAGGTGTTTTCAGGTCTGAGCTCGGGACCTTTGCCCCCAAACCTGGACACGGTCCTCTGACCTTCCCGTGGCCTGGGGCCACCCTGACTCTCTTCACTTTGCACCTGGCATGGCCTGGGGGGCAGGAAGGGGCCCGGGGGGCAGGAAGGGGCCCAGGGGGCAGGAAGGGGCCCGGGGGGCAGGAAGGGGCCCGGGGGGCAGGAAGGGGCCCGGGGGGCAGGAAGGGGCCCACGGGGCAGGAAGGGGCCCGGGGGGCAGGAAGGGGCCCACGGGGCAGGAAGGGGCCCGGGGGGCAGGAAGGGGCCCGGGGGGCAGGAAGGGGCCCAGGGGGCAGGAAGGGGCCCAGGGGGCAGGAAGGGGTCCGGGGGGCAGGAAGGGGTCCGGGGGGCAGGAAGGGGCCCACGGGGCAGGAAGGGGCCCGGGGGGCAGGAAGGGGCCCGGGGGGCAGGAAGGGGCCCGCGGGGCAGGAAGGGGCCCGGGGGGCAGGAAGGGGCCCACGGGCCATGGCGCCTGCAAAGTGGGACTGTTGTCGGCCGAGGGAGCCCTCAACCCGGCCGCCACGTGGACAATGAGCCGTTTCTCCCAGGCCACGGGCTCAACCCGAGTCTCCTGTTATTTTGTTTTGGTTTTGTCTCTTAAAACCTGGTGTCCTTACCTGAACACGAGGTTTGTGGTCCGACGGGAACGCAGGAAGGGTCGACTCATTCTAGAAGCTCAGCTGTGGCAGCCGTGCCCAGCTCGCCGCTGACCGTATGAGCAAAGTCCCAGCAGGGTCTCCTCTCTGCCAGGGGCCTTCCGTGGGTGCCACGTTTGGGGCCCAAGGTCAAGGCCTCACCCTCAGCCCTGAGCATCCTGCTGAGGTCTGGGCCTGCTGTCCAGTCCGGCCTGTCTGGGGATTGCCGCCCCTGTACACTGAGCCTTGAGGGCGGGAACCCACTGCCCCTCGCCGCCTGCGCGGAGCCGGTGCTCAGAGCAGAGCCCTCGCCCTCCTCAGTGACAGGCGGCCGCGCCTTTCCAGACCCCAAGAGCTCGGGGCGTGGACGAGAGGGATCCGCAGAGGTCCTCACTCAGCGCTGCACCGGCTCACATTTGAACCCCACACTGAGGCCGTGGGGAAGCCCGTCCCACAGAGAGCTCTGTGAGGCCTCCAGGGCCAGCCCCGCGTCCCTCCCGTGAGCGAGACTAGGAGAGCGCGGGGTGGGACCCAGCTCAGAAGTCAGGCCCGTGGTTTCCTGCAACCTGCGGAGCAGTGACAGTGAGGGACAGTGAGGGACAGCAGGCCGCAGGAATTCAGGGACCCCCGGGGTTCCTCTCCCTGCCCTGCCCTCATGAGGGAGCCCCCAGCTCTCAGCCTTGTCTCCCCAGCTCGGGGCTCTCTGCAGTCTCCTCCTCCACTGTCCCCACGTTTCCCTAAGTGGACGGTCCCCCATCTGCATCACTGGCTCCAGGCTCCGGTGCAGAGGCCCATGTCCATCCTTCTGCCTGTGCCCAGACAGGCTCAGGACAGTCCTCACGCGGGGCCGGCCCCGCCCCTCACTCAGTGTCCAAGCCTGGCACGTGAGCCCCGCCGAGCCCGCCGGGTTCCGCTGTGCCCTTTTTCGGCGGCTCACGGCTGCTTGGGTACCTCGGGCACGTGGGTCCTTGCAGCTCAGACTCCGGGCGTGCGTGTCCCTAACGATCCTTAGGACGCGTGCGGAGGGGACTGATTGGGAAGGAGCTCGTGTGAGTGTATTTCTAACTCCAGAGCCCCCAGGCCTCGTTCCCCTCGTGCAGGGTCCTGGTACATCCCCTCCTTCCCAGGAGGAGGCCTGGGACAGGTCCCGGAGGGCCGGCCGGCCAAGGACGGGCTGGCGCAGGGCCAGGGGCGCCCTTGAGACCCGGAACAGGCAGCAGCCTTGGCTGTGAGCCCCCCTTTCCAGGGACAGGGCCGATGGGGATTGTCAGACAGGTGCTGGGAACTACAGAACGGGGACATTCCCCGCAGCTTTGGTTAAAGGAGCAGAAACAACCACCCCCCAGGATGTCCATCTACGCAGGGCTCGACCCACAGGCGGTGAGGTAGCACGTCATCCCCGCTCCAGAGAACGTACCGCTGTTGACGGGAAGAGCGGGGTCCATTCGTTCTGGTCTGGAGCCCGAGCCAGCCGCGTGGCCACCTGGCAGTCTTGGGGGGGGGGGGCGCTGGTGGGGGACGAGGCGTCGGTGGGAGCTGGGAGCTGTCACTTGTGTGGAAATAGGTCTGGAAGGAGGTTCGGCAGCATCGGCGGTGGTTTCTCAGGAGGTAAGATGATGTGGGGGGGTGTCCTCTCACTATAGGGGTCACCTGAGCTGTTCACAGCCAGCATGTGCCATTTCCGTAGCCGAGGGGAGAGCCGGGTTCTCGGAGCCGAATGTCACTGTGACCTGGGACAGCTCACGTCCCCGGGAGCTTGGCTGGCGCTCCCAGGAGTTCACCAGTGACAGCCCCACCGTCGGGGCCAGGCCCCCAGAGTTCGCAGGGTGGTCCACTGAGGTTATCACGTGGGTTTTCTCCTTTGACATTTGCTACTTTGGTGAATGAGGTGGAAGGTTCTCCAAATGCCGGACCCCTTGCCTCCCAGGCGGTCATGGTGGGTCAGCACGTTTATAAATTGGCACGTTTGAGTGGCTGAAATTGTGCATAGAATTTCACGCCCCTGTTCCTGGGGCCGCTCGTCTTGAGCTTCCTTTCAACAGCTTTTCTGGTCTGGATGGCCCAGCAGGTCCTAGCCTGACGCCGTGTGCTGTGAGTGTTGTCTTCGTTGCTGTTTTCCAGAACGGTGTGTACAGGGTTGTGTTCTTTCTCAGTGTGTTTCATAGAACTGGTCAGAGCGTCCGTCTGGCTCTTCGGGGGTTTTGTCTGTCTGCGGAGGAAGGTTTTTAACTAGAAATCCCCAAAATAGATACAGGTTTGTTGTTCATATATTTCTTCTTAAATGAGCCTTGAGGGTTAGTATAGAACCAGGTGAAACCCGGCGGTGCGGCTCGGTGGATGGAGCGTGTCCCAGGGACTGAGAGGTCCCGGTTCGATTCCCGGTCAGGGCACATGCCCAGGTTGTGGGCTCGATCCCCAGTGGGGGGCGTGCAGGAGGCAGCCGATCTATGTTTTTCTCTCATTGATGTTTCTATCTCTCCCTCCCTTCCTCTCTCTCTAAAAAATCAGTGAAAACATTAAAAAATAAAAAGAATCAGGGGGAGCTGTCACCCCTCCAATTCCTGACATTGGTGATTCTCCTCTGTCCCCTCTCCCGACCCTGACAGGTCTGGCTCCAGGTGGTCAATTTTATTGCCCTTCTCAGAGAACCCGCTTTTGGTTTCAAATGTTTTTTGTTTTTTTTTCCCCTGTGTTAGCTCTTACTGTTTCCTGCTCAGGGCTTTATTCTTTCTTCCTACTTCCTTGGTTTTAATTTTTTGTTCTTTCTCTCGTTGAAGATGGATTGAGACCTGTCTTCTTTCCTAAAGTGACATTTAATGCTATAAAATTCCCCCAACACCCTTCTGACAGGTTGTGTTTTTATTTACTTCAAAATGCTTTCTTTAAAAAAAAATGTTTTATTGATTTTTTTTTTTTTTTTTTGAGAGGAAGGGAGAGGGTGCGAGAAACATGGATCAGCTGCCTCCCGCACGCCCCTCACTGGGGATGAAGCCTGCAACCCCCGCATGTGTCCTGACCGGGAATTGAACCCGCAACCTCTGGGTGCTCAACCCAGCTGGGCCCCACCGGCCGCACACTTTCCCCTTTGGACTTCTCCTTGGAACTGTGGGCTATTCAGAAGTTGTGTTGTTGTTTTTTTAATTTAGTTTTTAAAGAGTTAGGTGTTTTTCCAGAGATAATTTTATTATTTCCAGTTTAATTCCACCCTGAGCAAAGAATGTCCTTAGTATGACTTGAGCAATTCGAAATCGATGAGTTTATACAGCCCAGAATATGGCTTATTTTGGTAAATGTCGCACATGCACCTGAAAAGAAGGTGTTTTTTGGTTTGGGGTAGCGTGTTTTTTGTTGTTGTTGTTTTTTGTTTTTCATCCTCACCCGAGGACATTTTTCCATTTTTTGTTCAGACAGAGAGGAAGAGGGAGAGAGAGGAACAGAGAGAGAGAGAAACATCGACGTGAAAGGGACACATCGAGTGGCTGCCACCCGCACAGCCAACCAGGGCCGGGGACAAACTGCAATCAAGGTACATGCCCTTAGCGGGAACCGAACCCGGGTCTCTCTGGACTGCAGGCCGATGCTCTAACCGCTGAGCAAAACCGGCCAGGGCTGTTTTTGTTTTTTTAAATCCTCACCCGAAGATATTCTTCCATTTATCTTCAGATAGAGCAGGAGAGAGAGGAAGAGGGAGAGAATCATCAATGTGAGAGAGACACACTGACTGGCTGCATCCCGCATGGCCCCGACCAGGGCCAGGGACGAACTGCAACAGAAGTACCTGCCCTTTATCGGACTCGAACCTGTGACTCATTGGTCCGCAGGCCAATGCTCTAACCGCTGAGCCAAACCAGCCAGGGCAACGTGTTTTTATTTTATTTATTTATTTATTTATCCTCACTGGAGGACATTTTTCCATATTTTGTTCAGATAGAGTGGGAGGGAGGGAGGGAGGGAGAGAGAAACATCGATGTGAAAGGGACACATCGAGTGGCTGCCACCCGCACGACCCAACCAGGGCCGGGGACAAACTGCAACCGAGGTTCCTGCCCTTAGCGGGAACCGAACCCGGGTCTCTCTGGACCGCAGGCTGACTCTCTAACCGCTGAGCCAAACCGGCCAGGGCGGCATCGTGTTTTTATAAACGTTAATCAAATCAAATTGCTCGAGATGGGTGGTCCCGTCTTCCTCTTGCTCACACATCCGTGTGCTGCGCCGCTGCTTAGAGGTTCTGACATCTCCAACTGTAACCAGACTTACGTTTTCTCTCTGTCCTCTCTGGCCCTGCTCGACGCATTCGAACCTTTAGCAGGGTGGTAGCCATTGAGGATTGTTCTGCCCTCCTGTCCCCGTATTGGGAGAGGCCCCCGCCTTGTTCCTGGGGGTTCTCGGCTCTGAAATCGCCCCATGTGATGTTGATAGACCTCTTCCGCTTCCTCTGGACTCGTTTTAGAATGGAATACCATCCTTTTCATCTCCTTGGGTCTCTTAATTTCAAGTTCTTCATTTTTGAACCATTATTTAATTTCAGAAAACTAGCATTCATGATAAAAAAAAAAATTATGGGGAACTGACATCAGTGAGTTAAATGATTCTTGCCTCGCATTACTGTGCCGATGGACGGTGAGATTACGTATACGTACAGAACTAGGGCCACAACTGTGTATGTATCAACAAACGCACCTTTCTACACGGGGCCCTTCTCGGCAACATGGTGGCTGTGCTTTGTGCCCGAGGACACCCACCTCCATGGCCCCCCAGGCTCACGGTGCTCAGGTGACCCCCTCTTGTTGGGCCTCGAGGTGGTTTGATTTCTGCTGTCACAGATGAGGCTGGACGGCCACGCTGTCGAGGTGTTTCAGGTGCTCGTCCTACTGGTTTTGGGCGGCAGACTCCTGGAAGTGGGATTTCTGGGTCCATAGCTTGGACAAGCATGTGCGTGGGGACCTTCGGGGGGAGGGCGTCCTGGCCTGTTTCCCAGCCGTCCACCTGCCTGGCACCCGGGACCGTGTGCCCAGCCGGGCGAGTCACATCCGCTGGGTGGACGCGCCACTCATGTCCGTGAAAGCTCTCCTTTTAAGCCGTGTGTCTGGAAATGTCCTCTTCTGACTTGTAAGTAGCAAACCCAGTGTCGTCCTGATGCCCGGGCCGGACCTGAAGTGCATGGCGGTCCCACTGTGTGCCCGGCTGGATGGTGCTCAGAGGAGAACCCCCACCCTGGGTCACAGGAGATGGCACTGTCTGGGCCGCCCGCCAGCTGACAGTGCCCCCCTCGCTCCCCATCCCCCCCCACCTCACTAACACCTGGCCCTCCTCGGCCCCCTAGGGACACTGCCCAGGAAATGCAGGAAGGAGCTGCTGGCGGTGAGGCTAAGGAACCGGCCCAGCAAGCAGGAGCTGGAGGACCGGAACATCTTCCCCCGCAGGACGGACGAAGAGCGCCAGGAGACACGGCAGCAGATAGAGATGAAGCTCTCCAAGTAAGCAGCCGCGGAGCACAGGGGAGGCTGGCCCGCCCACTGCCCGCGCGCCCCCGTCTCCACCTCCCCACCACGCGGCAGCCACCGCCTGCCCACACTCGGGACAGTGGTCGTGGTGGGGTGTCCTGTGCCCCGTCCCGTGCTTGGCAGCAGCCTTGTTCCCTCCACGGCACAGCCCCTGGGCCAGCCGGAGCTGCCCCCGGACATTGTCACGTGCCCCCGGTGTGGAACAGTGGTTCTAGGAGCCAAGCAGGCACCTGAGGAGTGAAGGGGTGGCATTCGGGAGGAACTGTGGCAAAGTGGGGAGGACCTGCCTAGTTGGGGGGGGGTGTCCCTGTTCCCTGTCATCTGACCATTTCCTGCAAGACTGCATCCCCCGCTGCAAATCTGTGTTTTGAGAAAAGCTAGGGTTCTGTGTGTCGGGGGACAGTCTGCACCAGTCAAGGCCATGCTGCCGGGCAGTGACCCAGGCCCACCGGTGAGCACCTCTGCTTCCAGCCCCGAGGGCGCCCTGGGCGGTCACTGCGGCCCAGGCTGGAGACCCACGTGCTGTGGGGCAGGATGGCACGGGGTGTGCTCCCTAGTGGCCGAGCCGTGCACCCTGACGCAGGGCGCCTGACGGGGAGGGGGAGGTGAACATGGGCGGCAAGCGCTGGATGACTGTGCAGGGTGCTTGCCGAGCCCCAGAGCAGCGGGGTCCAGGACTCCCCTGGCCTCGGTTTCGTCATCTGTAAAGAGGGGGCTGGCTCTTCCAAGGTCACTGAGCTTCTGGGGGTCCTGTATGCAGGTGCGCGGCAGGGCCCGGCCACGTGGCAGATGCTGGGTCAGTCACCACTCCCTGCCCGTCCCTGTCCTCGTGGGGCCTTCCTGCCTCTGCCCCGTGCGGTGCCTGCCGCACAGGTGCCTGGTGGTGACCAGTGGTTCTTGAAATGGGACAGGGCTCCCCATGGAGAAGCCTTTTCCTTTGTTGTTTTTAGTTAATCCTCACCTGAGGATATTTTTCCATTGATTCCCCCCCCCCCCAGATAGAGTGGAAGGGAGGGTGGGGGGAGACAAGGAGAGAGAAACATCAACCTGAGGAAGATACATTGATTGGTTGCCGCCCACACAACCCGGGCTGGGGCTGGGGCTGGGGCTGGAACCTGCAGCCCAGGTGCATGCCTTTGCCTGGGAATCCAACCTGCGACCCTGTGGTCCTCGGGCTGAGGCTCAGTTCACGGAGCCAAGCCAGCCTTTTTAACACCCAGCTTCATGAGCTGCACCCAGACCCGCTGTCCCCCGTTTGGGGGACAGTTTCACGAATTCCCTGAAGCGGATGGGCTGAGGGACCTCCCTGCCTGGGCCTTGTTAGCCTCGTTGGAGTGAGGTGGTCAGAGCCTTCAGGCGTTTCGTCCCTCGGCATCTGGTCATCAGCAAAGGCACTGAGGCAGCTCCTGGAGGTGGGCCCCTGGAGAATCGTGGGGACCAGCATCTGCTGAAGAGGGGGCGGAGGCGGTGTCAGTGTCGGCAAGCCCTGCCTGATCAGATGCCTCTGGGAAACCAGTTCACAAGCCTTTTCTTTGCCTCTGGACTTGTCAGAGCCTCTGCCTCGATGATGCCCATTGTGTTCTGTGGGGGGGCAGGCGACAGGGTACCTGGGCTCAGCATGCACCTCCCTGACACCCCCCTCCCCGGCGTCTCAGGAGCAGCTCCAGGCCACCCTGGGGCCCATCAGCTGCTGACACTTGGTTCCTGTTTTCCTCCAAGATTTTGCTTCGACGTCAGCAGTGCAGTGAATGTTCTCATGCTTTTGTCCTTAGGTGAGCGTTTCTCCAGGGCCCCCGGGCGGGGCCGGTGTCACAGAGCGTGCCACCGAGGACCAGGAGGCGCGGCACCGCTCTTGGAAGCTGTGGTGCCAGCTTCTCTGTCCACGCGCCATCCGCCCCCCTGCGGCCACCGTCGCGGGCGGGCGCTCACCTGTCTGCGCTCGCCTGTCACCCCTGCAGTCACGAGGGGGCTCGGGATGACGTCATCCCTCATTTCTCGTGAGACCGAACAAGTTTTTCCAGTGCTTATCAGCTGTTTGGTTTTCCCTCTTCACGTATGTTTCCTGAGTTTCCTGCCCCGTAAGGAGTTAGGCGTTTGCTCTGGAAAGGTGGCTTCCAGCCTCACCCCGGCTCCTGAGCTACGCAGGCCCTCCCCCTCCGGACGCCTGAGTTTTCGTTCTGCTCACGCTTCCCTTGGACCCGCCGAGTTTGTCATTGGCAAGGTCGTGGTTACCAACGAGCTGCGTTAGGCGTCCGCAGACATTTGACGCTCTGTGGACCCCTGTCTCCACATGACCCTGCTATTGTAGCAATCCAGCCGTGGGCCTGGACTGACTGAGATGAGGAACGGTGCCAATAAAACTTTATTTACAAGCAGGCCCACAGACAAAGCTTGCTGACCCCGACCTCCGCTGCAGTGTATGGCTCACACTGTCTTTGCTGTGTTTGGAAAACTTCCCTCCCCAGAGGTGAAAACAAGGGTTATTCCGGGGGTTTTTCCGCAGCTGCCCTCCAACAGTGCTGGCGAGGGCTGGTTCTGTTTGATAAAGAGGCAAGTTCTCCTTTGGAGTATTAAGTGAATTAATTTAAAGAAAAATAGTAGCCCGGCCGGTGTGGCTCAGTGGTTGAGCTTCGACCCTGCACCAAGAGGTCGCCGGTTCGATTCTCGGTCAAGGCACACGCCCAGGTTGTGGGCCTGATCCCCAGTGGGGGGCGTGCAGGAGGCAGCCAGTCAGTGTTCTCTCTCATCGATATTTCTCTCTCTCTCTCTTTCCTTCTTCTTCCCTCCCTGTAAAAGCAATAAAATAATAATAATAATAAAGAAAACAGGAAGCCCACCATGCCAGTGTCTGTGGTGCAGACGGGGTGGCGCTCAGTGTCGGAAGCCGGGCCCCAGCCTGCCTGCATGTGGTGCGGGGGCGGTGGGTGCTGGGACACCACGGGGAGCCTCCGTGTCCTCCGGCACCACGGGGCCCGGGACGACTTTCATGTCTTCGACGATACAGAGCAGCAAACTGAGTCTTCTTTCCCTCTTTAATTAAAAAAAATTTTTTTCTGTTCCAGCTGACATCACAGTGATGTTAGTTTTGGGGTGTATGGTAGTAGCTCCTGGGGCCTTTATCGCCATGTTTAAAACTGGAAAAGCAGCCCCCGAATTAGCCTCAGAGCAGCTGGCCGGTGGGCAGCCAGTCCGTCCAGAGGTCCGTTGGCCGTCCGCCTGGTTTGTTTTCCTGCAGACATGGTCTCATCACCTCCCTTTGTCTTGGCGTCACCTCCTCTCCGAGGTTCTGCGGAGTAAGTCAGCCTCCGGTTGCCACGGCAACGTGCCCTGTCCCCTGTGTCCCCAAGGGCAGTCTGTGTGTTTGTTACACTTCCGGGAGACCCTTCAGATTTGATCATTGGGGTGCCCCTGGGCTTTTCTGGTTGTAGTGCTCACTGTGGCCCCCACCCATGCCTGACGACCCCTCTGTGCTGGGTCCGGGGACCCCAGTGAAGTCGGGGTCTCTTTGGGAGGAGTGAGGCTCTGGGACGGTCCTCACCCCCTTCTGTGCACCTTGTACGTGAGCCCGCAGAGCTGGGGACCGGCAGCCCCCGCCGCACACTACAGGTGTGTCCGGGGGGTGTGTCCTGGGGGGCGTGTCCTGGAGTTCCCCAAAGCAGAGGCATACTCTGTCCTGCAGGGGTGAAGGGGCAGCTGCGATCGGGGTGCCTGGCATGACGTCTCGGCGCCCACCCCATGCATATCTGAGGCTCACTTTCCCTCGTTTGACTCCATCCTTACAGCAGCCCGGGAAGGTGCACGGTCTCACCATGTCCATTTCACAGAGCAGAAAACTAAGTCTTGGTTCCCTTTTTAATTAAGAAAATATTTCAATTCGCGTCGACATCACTGTTAGTTAGTTTCGGGTGTACAGCAGTGGTCAGACGCCTATGGACCTGCCAGGTGACCCCCTGCTGAGTGGAGCCCCCACCTGGCCCCGCACACAGACATTAGAGTCACCGACTCCGTCGTCCGGGCTGTGCTTACCGACGCGAGGCTCGGCTGTGCCTGTGTGTACGGCTCCCTCCTGTCCCCTTTCCAAGCAGCCCCCCATCTACCAGCCGCCTCTCCGTGTTGTTTATCTTGTTCTGAGGAGTCCACAGGTGAGGGAAATACTGCCGTGTTGGTCTTGCTCATTTCCCTGAGCACGAGGCCCGCAGGTCCATCCCGGCTGCTGCCTGTGGTGAGGGCCCATTCTTTTCTCTCATCCTCGCCCGAGGACATTTCTGCATTTATCTTCCGACAGGGCGGGAGGGAGAGAGGGAGGAAGAGAGAAACATTGACGTGAGAGAGACACACCAACTGGTTGCCACCCACACGACCCCAACCGGGGCCGGGGACGAACTGCAACCGAGGTACGTGCCCTTAGTGGGAACCGAACTCGGGTCTCTCTGAACCGCAGGCCGACGCTCTAGCCGCTGAGCCAGACCAGCCAGGGCGGATTCTGTTCTTGTTCAGGGCCGAGCAGCCCCCATGTACACATCCCCACACCTCCCTACCCGCGGGTCGCGATGAGCACCCAGGTGGCCCCAGATCTCGGCCATTGTAAATGATGCTGCGGGGAGCAGAGGGTCGCTTGCGTCTCCTCACCTCCGTGTTCTGGATTTTCTTCAGATGAGCACCCCGGGGGGGGGGGGGTCGCGTGGGAGCTCTGTGTGCAGCTGTTCGAGGGGCTTCCACGCTGGGAGAGAACTAAGTGGTGGAGAGTGGAGAGGGGACTCGCCCAGGGTCACCAGCCAGGAGCACCACGGGGCCTCGGTGCAGCATTTGGGGGGGGCTGTCCCCCGCCTCGCTGGCCCGGGTCACAGCTCGGCGTTTCCTTGCATCGCTTTGCTTCCTCCGGCGCGTTCAGACCTCAGTCGGCTAACGGGCCTCTGGGTGCAGACTGTTTCCTGCCTTGTTAGGGTGGGTGTCCGGACACGAGGCCACTGTCC